ACAGTATCTTAAAGAGACCTTATGTCACCTGCCAACCATTTTGGAGAAAAGAAGTATCTGTTTCTTTTTAAAATTCAAGTATTGTATAAAGTTGTGTTACCTTGCACTTAGCATTTTGAAAATATCCTTGAAATTTTATATAACCAACAACTAAGATCAGTGTGGTTTGGCAGTAAGTAAATGTCAAAATCAAATCTATGAAAGCTAATAGCTGAAATCAGCCAGATGTAGATGGTTTATTTTTACCCTTACCATAGTTATTTATCCTTTCTGATGGGCTGTGTCATAGTTTATAGGATAATAAAAGAATTCATAAAAACTCCAAATCCATTGCTACTTATCAAACCTGTAGCATACCTAAAACATTCTGGCTGACCGGCCCTAAAGACTGCTCCCTGTGGTTCGGTACAATGCACTGAGTCTACAGGGAATATTTTGTTGGACTCACAGAACTGCAAGCCTCTGGTGTGACTCTCTTTTCACTGTATTGACAGATGGAAATGATGGCAGACTCTAGAATGAAGGCGGAAATCCAAGCTTTGACCACCCTGTCCTCAGATTACCTTTCCCGAGTATACTTACCCAACAAACTAAAATTTGGAGGGTGGATCTGAAAGTACATTGGAAGAACTTGTGATTGCCCAAGCCTTATTATTGCTTTTAGTTGGTGAGCCCTTTTCTGGAGAGACCATCTATCCTCAGCTCTGCAAAAATAGAACAAAATAATTTCTCTCTATTTGTTTTGTCAAAATAAACACTATGCTCTGATTTTCTTTAGAAGGCTTTATTTTATCCTCCATGGAGATCAGTTTCTATCCTATACTCTAAAATAAATTATAAAAGAATATATGTGATTTTGACTTTTAAATTGTATTTGAAAGAATGTTTTACATGTCATACAAGTCTATAAAACATTTTGTCTTCTACAATATAATTATGTAAGGCATGAAGTATTTTATTAGTAACAAAAATAATAATATAAATTTGAGATGTTGTAAAGCAATTAGTAGCTGGTAGTTTCTTCCTTTCTCTTTTGCCTTCATAGTGTAGTTAGTGGTCAGAGTGTAGGAACCATGCTCCATTAATCCTTTGTAAAACTAGTAAAATTTATTGTGAATAAATATTTGGGTCGATGTACTCTCCAGTGCTTTGCTTTGCTTTTTCTTGAGTGTATCTTTACCATGACAACACTTATTGGTAAATATTTCTCCGGGGAGTTACTCATTATTGCCTGAATTAGCACCTGAATTCTGCTTTAGGCCCACAGAACAAAGAACTTCTTTGGTTTTAAGAGCTAAAGAAGCCTCAGATTTTTTGTTTTTCTTGGTATTGGGGATTGAACTCAGTTCCTTGGGCTTACAAGGCAGGTAGCAGAACCTCTGAATGCATCCCTGGCCCAGGCCTCAGATTTTAATAAGGCACTTTTCTAACAGTAAGAGTATGATCCTTTCCCCTTATAAACCTATTTTAATTTTTATAAAGATAAGTTTTTTTATTGGGTACTTTTAGTAAATCTTTCGCTACAATGAAAGTTTCTTATAACTATTAGCACCAAAATGCATTCATGGAATTGTTGGGTTGGTTTGTAAATATAAATGGTGATGATAATGATACGATTTCTGAAAACTTACGTGTGCCTATTGCTGCTCATGTGTTCACTTTCCGAGGAATCTTGCAATGACTTAGTAACTACACCACAGTTTATCAGTGACAACACTGGGCATGTTACTTGTCCAAAGCCACAGTAACACTAGGGAACAATGTTACCACCAACCTCCAGAGCAGTACAGCTGCAGAACAAGCAGGTCCCAGCCAGGCGCGGTGGTGCATGCTTGTAACTACCAGCATTTGGGAGGCTGAGGTAGGAGGATCACCATGATTTCCAGGCCAATGTGGACTGCATAGTAAGACTCTGTCTCAAAAACCAACAATAACCAACAAATGCAGATCCCAGTATAGAACACAAATGACCAGGGGCTGGTAGAATGTCAAGGAGGTAGGAATAAGAATTAAACCAAGCAGGGGTCCTTGTGACTGCAGGAGTTGTACACTGTGAGACCGGCCCTGCCCACAAGGCTGTAGTTAGGGTTAAATCGAGTAATATAATAATGAAAGAAAATACTTAGGACTTATTTTCTTCCAGGTATTTTTCTGGGTGTTTTGCAAACAATAATCCGTTTCATCGCCACACCCATCTGAGCTATGTACTTTTATTATCATTCACAGATGAAAATGTAAAGGTACAGAGAGGTTCAAAGGCCGCATGACCACCCTCAACCCTGAGCACCTGTATCTGGCCACACTGGTACATGTACAGTGCTGCATACTGAGCCTCACCGGTGCCAAATCAAGGCCTCCTTGGCGCCATGCCTGTGACATGAGCAAATATGTCATATTTCATGGACACACACAGACACTAAGCATTTTATATTGAAAACTGGCATGCTGTTAATCTGACCTACTCATGAGAGTATCAAAAAGTCTTTAAAAAAATGCATAGATCACAAAGTTTTCCTTTACAGTTCTACCACACTTTATATGTTTAACCCTGCAAATATCTGGAATAGGATCCACTGTCCAAAACGGGAGGGACTGACAAATCTACAATAGTCATTCAAATTTGGGAATATATTTGAAAGTAGTTTGCAGACCTATTCAGTTGATATAATTAACTAATCTTAAGTTTATGACTGGAAATTTAGTCAATTTTCAATTATTTGGGAAATGAACATGGAAGAAGCAACATACATTATAGTTTGCCTGTACCACCTACCTTTATTGGATGCGGATGAAAAATTAATGCTATTAGGTATTTGGGAACCATCTAGAATCCTAATCATAAAATTTATTTCCAGAAAAGATTACTGTAAAATAGCAATTTAAAATAATAACTGACAACAGATAGCCCCTCCACTGTCATCTCTTTTATCTATTTTTTGTTTGTTTGTTTTTGAGACAGGGTCTCACTATGTAGTTGAGACTGACCTGGAACTCATTATGTAGCCCAGGCTGTTCTCAAATTCACAGTGATCCTCCTGCCTCAGCCTCCCAAGTGTTGGGATTATAGGTGTGTACCACAACGCCCGGCTTCTTTTACCTATTTTTAATATCTCCATACTTTTAATCTAGGAAGAATATTGGAATGGAATTTGTTTATAGTTAAAATGAATAGAAATAGAAACTAATACAACAAAAAGATGTTCAGAGATTTTTGGTTTTCCTTATGGGCTCATAATGACCCTTATAAAATAAAAGCTGCTTGTAATATCCAGTTTTCTGGAAAATTTAACTGTCATCATGGGTGATGCAAAGTGATTTCAGAAGTTACTATTTCATGAAAAAAGTGCATTTTGTTCTGAACAGGCAAGCACCCCCCCTCTCAGGTTTCCATCCATGGCTGCTTTCTTTGTGACTGTCTCAGTTGAACTGTTAGTCTGATGTAGGCACTGGCTTAGTGACACTGAAAAGAACAGACACTTTCAGAACTGAGCCACTCGCACATGCACATTACAGTATCTTCAGCAGATTGTTTTTGTAGTAAAATACTGAGCAACTCTTACTGCTACTTGCGAAGTGGATTCTCTGCTCCAAGGTCTGTCTCCGCCCCACTCCACCCTGCAAAACTCCCATAAACAAGCCAAGGCTGTCCTCTGCTGGCAGAAGCTCATGGTTCCTTCGCCTCCTTTCACTTCTGGGGGTGGAATCTCTTTTAGATATTTTTAGGGAATTGGAACAAGATCTCACAGACCGCACACTCTCTGAGGAAATCAACACGTGCACACCGTAGCAAATAGTGGTGAGGGGCCAGCCTGTGTGTGACAAGCCCTCCAGGGCCCTTAACCGAGGGGTCTTCCTCTCTCTCTCCCTCCCCTCTCCCTCTTCAATACTAATTTGGTGGCTGCATGTGTTTTGAGCCATTATGATAAACCCGTTTACAAAAAATTATAGGAGGTCTGTGATTTGCAATTAACTCCCACACTGGGCCCCAAGAGACCAAAAATAAAAAGAGTCACTCGCACTAAGTTTCCGTGTCACCAAACTGGAACTGTTACCTGAACTTTCAAAACGTCTAGCAAATAAAGAAAACAGCCAGGTTTCCTAAACAGGCCAGTTTCATTTAGCATGATAATAAAGTTCCCTCTGCTTTAATCCAGACCCAAAACGAACCAAAACCTTGATGTAAGATGCTAACCAGTCAGTTATCTCTCTGTTGTTCTGTGACCCTGTCCCTTACCAGAAAAGGAACCAATCCACTTTTTACTCTAGTCCCAGGATTCAGATTGTCTCGAAAACACCTTGTTCTATTTGTTTCATTAAAACACTCATTCTGGGATCTCTAGATAATTGGTTGTAATTTTGTCTTTTGACATCCTTAATATTTCTCTGTGTGTAGCAAGAGCCTTTCGCATGTCGTTTCACTTATCCAACGAGGAACAGACCGGCAAATTAGATATTATTATCCCCGTCTCGCTGCAGAAAACTTGAGGGACCCAGGAGCCCCGGGGAGGTTTGGTCAGCAGAAAGACAGCTTTTCCGAATTAGCAGTAATAAGACTTTTTTTTTTTTTTAAGGCGTTTAAGCACAACTGTTTCGATGAAAATCGCTACTTTTCATTGGCCTGAGTTGCGAATTTACAACAGAGGTTGCTTAGCAACCTGCCGCAACTTTCCACCAATTAGCAAACTGCTGGCACAAGGACTTCCTTTTGACACCAATAACTCTTTTGCGCATGTGTTCTCGCCAGGTGGAAGGAGGAGCCTTTTTGAACGCTTTCCGGGCGACGACGGAAGTGGCTTGAGGGCACATGCGCCCTGTTTCCGCGGTAATTGGACGCTTTCTGTTACGGGTTTGACGAGACCCCCCGGGCGCTTGGAGTTCCTGCTCCGCCACCTCGCCCTTTTCTCTTCCGTCCCAGAGCAAGTGTGTGG